AGTGCATGATCATTGTGTGTGTGTGTATGTGTGTGTGTGAGTCACTCAGGCATGTCCAACTCTTTGCGACCCCACGGACTGTAGCCCACCAGGCTTCTCTGTCCATGGAATTCTCCAGGCAAGAATACTGGGGTGGATTGCCATTCCCTTCTCCAGAGGAACTTCCCAACCCAGGGATCAAACTCTGGTCTCCTGCCTCACAGGCAGGTTCTTTACCATTTGAGCTACAGGGAAGTCCATGATCCTTACATGGCCACCAATGGTATCTTGGAGGAAGACTTTATTACCATCAAATGGGTATGAAAATCCTGGATCTTCACCCAGTTTTCTCTGATACCATGATTGTAGTGGTAGGGGAGGGAAGTCAATAAAGGATTTGTGATAAGTATATATTTGATCTTTGTCTCTCCCTCCTGGCACACAGTTTCTAAAACTCAGAATCTCTGAAGTGACGACTGACTGTGTTTTGTATGATGTTGAGGTGATTGACGGCTGGGGGCCCAAGATAGCTTCAAAATGAGGGTTACTCACCAGAAACACCAAAGCGTGATTAGAAGATGGAAATTTTAACCACACACCCTGACCTCCAATGAGGGGAGAGGGGCTAGAAATTGAGTTAATCATCAGTGACCCATGATTTAATCAATCATGCCTATGTAATTGTTAGGTGGTTAGAATAGGAAAAAGGAATCCATAATGGTGGTGGCTAAAAGACAAAGAAAGGAAAAAGCCCATGAAAATAGAACAAAGGAAGGTCCCAGGACCAGAGTGAGAAACTCAGGTAAAACAGCCCTCCAGGCTAGCCCAATTTACATAGGGCAGGCTCAGGGAGAGGAGAAAAGCATACAAAAAGAGGAGCCAAAATTGAGTCAGGGGCTTTTCTTCTCTTCACATCTTTTGGACCAGCCCACCCTCACACCTCGAGGCTGTCTTTTCCTTTGCTTGCCAATTAAAACTGAGCTGTAACACTGGTCCGTCTATCGCTTCAAATTTTTGCTGCAGTGAGACGGAACTGAGGAAATTGCAAACTCCCCTGACATGGTGATACCTTTGTAAAAGCTCTTTAAATGGTGGATTTGGAGAGCTTCTGGGTTGGTGACTACATCAAAGTGCTTGGAGAGTAACACACCTGGAGAAGGCATGGAGGCTCCACAACCCCTCCCACACTTGCCCTGTGCATCTTTTACATTTGACTGTCCATGAGTTGTATTGAGGGTTACTCACCAGAAACACCAAAGCGTGATTAGAAGATGGAAATTTTAACCACACACCCTGACCTCCAATGAGGGGAGAGGGGCTAGAAATTGAGTTAATCATCAGTGACCCATGATTTAATCAAGCATGCCTATGTAATTGTTAGGTGGTTAGAATAGGAAAAAGGAATCCATAATGGTGGTGGCTAAAAGACAAAGAAAGGAAAAAGCCCACGAAAATAGGACAAAGGAAGGTCCCAGGACCAGAGTGAGAAACAGGTAAAACAGCCCTCCAGCCTAGCCCAATTTACATAGGGCAGGCTCAGGGAGAGGAGAAAAGCATACAAAAAGAGGAGCCAAAATTGAGTCAGGGGCTTTTCTTCTCTTCACATCTTTTGGACCAGCCCACCCTCACACCTCGAGGCTGTCTTTTCCTTTGCTTGCCAATTAAAACTGAGCTGTAACACTGGTCCGTCTATCGCTTCAAATTTTTGCTGCAGTGAGACGGAACTGAGGAAATTGCAAACTCCCCTGACATGGTGATACCTTTGTAAAAGCTCTTTAAATGGTGGATTTGGAGAGCTTCTGGGTTGGTGACTACATCAAAGTGCTTGGAGAGTAACACACCTGGAGAAGGCATGGAGGCTCCACAACCCCTCCCACACTTGCCATGTGCATCTTTTACATTTGACTGTCCATGAGTTGTATCCTTTATAAAAAGCAGGTACATTTAAGTATGTACCTTTCTGAGTTCTATATGCCCTTCCAGAAAATTAACAAACATGAGTAGGGAATCATGAGAACCTCCATCTTATAACCAGTTTGTCCAAGGTACAGGTAGCAACCAGGGACTTATAACTGGCCTCTGAAGTAGGGCAGTCTTGTGGAGCTGAAGCCTTAACCTTTGGAATCTGTGCCAATGCCAGATAGTTAAACTGAATTGTAGCACACCCCATTGGAGTCCAGAGAGGTATGGCAATTATTGTCTAAAAGTTTTGCTAACTTTCCCCTTTCCTACTTCTTTTACTGGAGACAGCAGGCTGTTTGCTCCTATTGGAGTCTTTGGGTTACTGGCTCTTTGAGCAACATGTTCTGGATATCTGACTAAAAGGAAACTCAAGGAATTCACCACCATTTTGTTCCTCAAGTGCAAAAGTTCCTACACTGTCTGCCTTCTCTCAAAGTCCTCTTATGTTTTGTTTTATATATTATTTCCAGGATTTTTATCTATATTTAAAGAGAGGAATTGAGAAAATATGCCTATTCCATCTTCATCTAGAGATAGAATTTCCAACTGTTTTGAATAATAGGATCACCTTACCTATTTGAGAAAAATGTTTTTCATTCTCCATCTTCGAGTTTTTTCCCTCCCAGCTTTCCATTTCTAATTATGCAAGATTGACTCAGAAACAATTTTTTCATTAAATAGCCTCATGAGGTCACTATTACCAGCTGTGAAATGTTTTGACCATTCTTTCCTTTGCTAGTAAGATCTCTGAAGTCCATTTACACATGAGACAGAGACATTTTCAGCATATGTTGATTAGACTCTCACCATATGTTGATCATTCTCCAAAACAGATATTCAGGTCTTATTGGGTGCTGCTGTTTTATTGAGACTTTCTATAATAAGAGGCTAATCGAAACATTAATTAGCAATATCATTAAAACCAAATTTTCCAGTCTGTTCAGTCTATGGATTTGTGGTTAAAATAACCTCTTTCTTGAAAGCTTTCTTATCTAGGAGACTCCTACTTAGCATAAATGATTGAGTGATTAAAATGATTTAGCCAGAGATGGACCTGGGAATGGAATTGACAGCTACTGGAAGATCTAATTCACACTAGACATTTTATGCATTATCTAGCACATGTCTCAAAATAAAGCCATAATGTATATAAGTCCATTTTACCACTGAAGCTTTTGCAAGGTCACACAGTTGGTAAAACCCAACTTGGGATTGAACTCCTACTGTACGTATAGAGCTAGCCAGCAGTCTATGAACCATTAGTCAACCAGTAATCAATTAGTGGATAGAAAACATTTTCTTAAGTGAAGGATATTAGGAAATATCATCAGACGTTTCACATAGTAAAGGGAAAAATTATTTAATGAAAACAAGTTCATTTCATATACATATATGTATGTATACATATAAATAAATTTATTAATGTATGTGCACTGAGCCCCAGTGCATAAAAATGCTTTTTATAATGCGGTTGGCGGCAAAGAAGTCTGGAGTCATTTTGTTAGGTGACCTTTTGAGATACTTTCACTTAATCTAAGTGAGATTGTTTACCATACCCACTGTGCTAATACTTTTCCAGGAAAAAGCATCATCCTTCAAGAGCAAAATATATTTTTTGAAGCCCCAAATTTACTGTGTAGAATCTCTGGGTTACAGCAGAAAGTTGCTATTTCTATGACAAGAATTCATGCTAATGTGTAGCTGTTGATGCCTATGATTCATTTATGTGTGTGCATATGTTTGTTTCTGGTAAAAGTACATTTTACAATTTGATTTTTTCATACTCACCACAAAACTCTGTATCAAAGTTAAAATTTAATCAGTTTCATAATGAGATATGAATTGGACACTTAAGGTACAAAGAAGACATTGCACTCCAGTGGTTAAAAAGGAAGGTTCTGCAGTCACACAGATGTATTTCAAATCCAGGCTCTTTCACAGAACCTTAGGCAAATTAATTCTCAACTTCCTTACCTCGAAAATAGTATTCATAGTAGCAACTAACTCATTTTGAGAATGTTGGAATTAAAATGAGATATACATATAAATTATTATCAAAATATTTTTCTTATAGCAAAAGCTTCATAGCCTTTTTTAAAAAATAGCTTTTAGCTATTAGTCCAAAACTTTTAAGTTAATACATTTGCAGAAACCAAGAATTACAAAAGAAGTCCTAGTGGTTACAGGCAGAAAATAAACCCCGTTTCTTCCTGTTGTTCAATCACCCAGTCGTATCTGACTCTTTGCAACCCCATGGAATGTAGCACGCTAGGCTGCTCTGTTCATGAGATTTCCCAGGCAAGAGTACCAGAGTGGGTTGCCATTTCCTTTTACAGAGGATCTTCCCTACCCAGGGATCAAACCCATGTCTCTTGAGTCTCCTGAATTGGCATATGGATTTTTTTAGCCCTAGCACCACCTGGCAATGACTTTCCTGTTGGACTTGTTAAATTGCTCTTTCCTCAGAACATACATGACTGAATGACTAATGGGATATACTAAATGATGAGAGAATATTGCTTAAATTTTACTTTGTAAGTAATTATTGGCTGATTTAACATAAAAGGGAAGAAAATAATGTTTTCCTAGTTTTGTCTATATATGTTTTTGATATATATGTATGGTTCTATAGTTTTACCTATAAATCAGCATATATAGTCAAATGTCCATGACTTAGGGCTTCCCTGATAAGCTCAGTTGGTAAAGAACCTGCCCACAATGCAGGAGACCTGGGTTGGATCCCTGGGTTGGAAAGATCCCCTGGGGAAGGGAAAGGCCACCCATTCCAGTATTATGGCCTGGAGAATTTGATGGACTCTATAGTCCATGGGGTTGCAAAGAGTTGGACACAATTGTCCATGGCTGTACAAATCAATCCTCTCCATAATCTAATTCTCAGTTAACTTACATAACTTTGAAGGGTCAAGTCATGAGCCAGAAATTATATAGCAAAGCTGGATTTCTATACTGGAACACAAATCCCAAGATCTGGCATGCCTAAACAGTGTTTAGAAAATTATTCACACATATCTTTAATGAAAGGACTTTTGATATTGCAGGACAACCTGGAATCATCCATGTTCCCAATGCAGAAGGGCTCTCTGAACCTCCTGCGGCAGAAATGGGAATCCAGCGATTACCAGAAAAGCGAGTATAGTCCCAGAGACAGTCGTTGCAGGCTTTTCCAGCCTCAAGAAAACAAATTGCTTGAACCTGAAGAAGAGGTAGCATCAACACCCGGACCTCCAGATCCTCCAAATCTGCTCCGAAGTGTCAGAGAAGAGATATTGAGTGCAGAGCCTGAAGAGAAGTGTCCTGAGGACAAGAGTGACTACTCTGGAGACTATGGTCAGCTGGAAGTGCTGAAGGAGGATTCCCTGAGTGGTCGGCACAGGATTGAACGGTTCTCCATCGCCCTTGATGAGCTGAGGAGTGTGTTTGAAGCTCCAAGGAGTGGAAACAGACAAGCTGGACCAGCTGAGTACAGCCGGAAGGTAAGGATCCATTGACTGAGAGTCCACATTTATAATAGACAAGATAAGCAGCTTGCCTAGCCTTCCATTTCTAAGCATATAGTTGTTTTTTTTCCCCTTCTCCACTATTCTAGACAGATGTCCTGAAGCAACCATGTAATACAGTGTGAAATGTGGCATCCACTGTTATTGACTTCCTCTATGGTCTGTTCCATTGGGAACTTGATCTCCTTTCACTCCCACAAAAACAGCTCTGATAAGCCCTTTATATATAGATGTTTCTTTATGTGTATGCGTTGTTTCTGCAGCTAAGTTGTAAGTTCCTTAGAAGTAAGGACAATTTCTTATCAATCTTTGTACTTCAAACATCTAAGAAATGGTGCTGCATTTAGCTCCATGAGAATTTATCAGGATTTATCAGTAATGATGGTGAAATGAAACTAGTGAAGTCTCTGGAACCAACAGTGATGTAGATTTTAATCCTGACACCTGCCATTTACTTTTAGCTGTGTGATGCTTAACATTGTGAATGTGTGTGTTAATCTGCTACTTCTCAGGCATCTTGTAAGGATTATATTTGTAAGGAATATATATGATATTATATTTATACCACAGGGCATACGGTCTGGAATATTTTGTGGTAAAGGATGATTATGCCTCAGTGATTGTGGTGTACTATAATGTCACCTATAAAATATGTCTATTACCTAAAGGGGACATTTATTGAAATACAGGAAATAGGATTAGCAGCATTGTTAACAAATAACACATTTATATTTCTGTTGTCAGTTAAAAGCAACTACTGCTTAAACTGAAATTGCTTGAATGTATCACACTCAATAGAGTCCCTACAAAAGAGATTATAGTTGAATTTCATAAATAATTAATAAATAATCTCAGGTTTTCCATTGGGAAGCAAATTCCATGCTCTGTTCTTTTTTCTTTTTTTTAAGCTTAGTGACTGTTATCCGGAAGGCACAGTCCTATTCTTGTTAATGGATAATTAGCCTTTGTTGAAGAAAGGATATATAAATATAAATAGAAATAGAAAATTTTTCAAAATAAATTATTTTGCTAGTATTTGCTCTCAGTATGATGAGACCATTGTTGTATATCAAGTAATTCAACTTGGTTTAATGAGAATAAGGGATATAAAGTTATATATATGAGGTTATGTTGAAGCTAGAGAATGTCTCAAAAAAATCAAACTGTTGATACTTGCCAATCTCCAGTTTGAGGACTTTGTTTCCCTCCTTTTTACTCTACAGGTGCGAATTTTTTGTTTATGGCTTTATAATATCTTTTACTTTGATCCCTGGGTCAGGAAGATGCCCTGGAGAAGGAAATGGCAACCCACTCCAGTATTCTTGCCTGGAGAATCCCCTGGACAGAGGAGCCTGGCGGGCTAAAGTTCACGGGGCCGCAAAGAATTGGACGTGACTGAGCGACGGACATACACACAACACACACACACAGTTGGATGTCTAGGGATTGGGGAACACTTAATGTAGATCCTTACAATGTCATTTATTCTTGCCTTAATGAGTTAAGTAAAGCCACAGAAAAGAGTTTCATCTCTGTTGACTTTAGTATTATAATTCTGAATATTTACCCAAGATATTTGATTAAAGAATTGGCTAAAGATAGAAAACATCATTCTTATAAATTATGTAATAGAACCTATTCTCATCTGGAACAGCTGTAGCTCCTTAAATACAATATTAAAAAAAAATTTATAAGGGTTTCTGGTTGAAATGTGAGATTACTACTATTGGTATGGTATGTGATTTTTGGACCTGGTGCCTATAAAAATAATAATGGAAAGAAATCAGACGTGAAAACACGTCTTGGTTTTCAAAAATGAAATTTGATTAGCATCTTTAATACACTGTTTTTTAGCCATTCTAAGGTACTATGCCATAACATGATATTTCCCTAAATGTATAAAACATGGATTATGTGTTTAGAAATTTTTCATCTGTAGAAACGAACATGAATTTTAGAATAAGTTCTTATGAATGAATATTAGTAATGGTTGCAGGACTCTCTACATAAATTTCATATGACTTCTAAAACAAGGAGGAAAAAAGGAAAAAAAAATTGAGAATTCAATGAGAACTTAACTTCTTTCTTCCAATGAATCATTTTATGTTACTAGGCATGCAAAAAGAGTCCTAGCTCAATTTAAATTTATGTATTTCATGCAAAAGCTTAGCTAGCAATTTTATACAGCTTAACATTTAACCCTTTGTTTCTATAGATCCTTTTCTTCTTTCTTATATCAATACTTTGTTATTATTATAAGTTAATGACATAACATTGATTAGCGTGAAAGTGAAAGTGAAGTCGCTCAGTCGTGTCTGACTCTTTGCGACCCCATGGACCCTTCGTCCATGGAATTTTCCAGGCAAGAATACTGGAGTGGGCTGCCATTTCCTTCTCCAATTGATAAGTTATCCAAAATATACTAACTACTTTATACCTGACATTTATATTTATGGAGACCCTCTATTAAGATATTGGTGATGTAGGGAAAGGTATTCAATATTTATGATATTTAAAGTAAAGACAAAAAATAATTTCAGATAAGAAAGGCTGACACAATTAGGAATTCATCTCAACAATAATAAACAAGAACTGCATTTTAGTTTTGTTGTAGAGGGGAACTCCAGCAATAGGCACTTGTTAAGAAAAATTTCAAAAAATTATTGAGGTTCAGTCTAAGTTTGTAAAATTTTTAAAGGCATGGACTCTTTTATATATGTGTACACATATTTACAGATATGCACACAAATATATGTGTTTAAAACATTTAAAGTCAACATAGAAGAAATATGTCTTTGTTAAAAAGTGTCCATTAACAGATNGATCAGGATGGGGAACACATGTAAATCCATGGCTGATTCATGTCAATGTATGGCAAAAACCACTACAATATTATAAAGTAATTAGCCTCCAACTAATAAATAAAATTTTAAAAAAAGAATATAAGCTCATAAAATAGAGATGATCTTAACCCCTAAAAGTAGTCACTGTATTCCAGAGCTTTTGTTAAAACAATTTACCCTAATATAATTGCAATAGAAAATTAATGAGAAAATCTTAAAATGATTCACCTGCTGGCATTTTATAATTTCAAAAGAGACACAACCTATTGTTATCATTTGTAAAACTTATAAAAGCAACCTAGAATGAAATTTTCACTGAGGATTTTTATGCTCATGAGGCAGACAATAATTCAAAGACATAGATTCAAACAGGCATTATCCAAAATGGTATGGAACATGATTTTAATAGAGTTTTTAAGAACTTATAAAAATCTAAGATTATAAATTTCAGAGAAAATGCCATATCCATTTTTAACAATAAGAAATTGTTATTATATCATGTGGTGTATCCATTAGCATTTGCTGTGTAACAAACCACCTCAAAATTAGAATCTTTAAACAATATACATTTGTGATTGCTTACAAATCTCTAGTGAGCTGGGAAGTTTATCTAGTGTTTTCTGGCCTCATGCATACATCTATGGTCCGTTGCCAAGTCAGCAGGGGTCTGACTGCTCTGGGATGGTTCCAGGGCTGGGACAACTCTGTTCTGCCCCATGTGGTCTTTCCTCCTCCAGTTGGTTGACCAGATTTATGCTCAGGTCATAGACGTATCAAGAAAGACAGTGGAACTTCCTGAGGCCTCTGGAGGTCTCCTCTCAGAGCTTGCACATCTCGTCTCCATATTGTATAAGCCAAAATCATCACAAAACAAGCCAGATTATAATGTGTTGAAATATACTTCAACTCTTGATGGAAGGAATTGCAGACTCACATTTGCAAAGATTTTCATGGCCCAGATAATCACAATGGTATGATCACTCACCCAGCCAGACATCCTGGAATGTGAAGTCAAGTGGGCCTTAGGAAGCATCACTACAAACAAAGCTAGTGAAAGTGATGAAATTCCAGCTGAGCTATTTCAGATCCTAAAAGATGATGCTGTGAAAGTGCTTCACTCAATATGCCAGCAAATTTGGAAAACTCAGCACTGGCCACAGAACTGGAAAAGGTCAGTTTTCATTCCAATCTCAAAGAAAGGCAATGCCAAACAATGCTCAAACTACTACACAATTGCACTCATTTCACAGGCTAGTAAAGTAATGCTCAAAATTCTCCAAGCCAGACTTCAACAGTACATGAACTGTGAACTTCCAGATGTTCAAACTGGTTTTAGAAAAGGCAGTGTAACCAGAGATCAAATTGCCAACATCCAATGGATTATCAAAAAAGCAAGAGAGTTTCAGAAAAACATCTATTTCTGCTTTATTGGCTATGCCAAAGACTTTGACTGTGTGGATCACCACAAACTATGGAAAATTCTGAAAGAGATGGGAATACCAGACCACCTTACCTGCCTCTTGAGAAATCTGTATGCAGGTCAGGAAACAACAGTTAGAGCTGGACATGGAACAACAGACTGGTTCCAAATAGGAAAAGGAGTACATTCAGGCTGTATATTGTCACCTACTTATTTAACTTATATGCAGAGTACATCATAAGAAACACTGGGCTGGAAGAAGCACAAACTGGAATTAAGATTGCCTGGAGAAATATATAGCTTCAGATATGCAGATGACACCACCCTCATGGCAGAAAGTGAAGAACTAAAGAACCTCTTGATGAAAGTGAAAGAGGAGAGTGAAAAAGTTGGCTTAAAGCTCAACATTCAGAAAACTAAGATCATGGCATCTGGTCNATTGACTACACTGATGATAACACAGAGGCAGAGTAATAGCCTCCCAAGGATGTCCACATCCTGATCCCCTGAACCTGTGAATATGTTACTAATAAGGCAAAGGGGACTTTGAAATGTGGTTAAGGATCTTGAGATGGAAAAGTTTTCCTGAACTATACCAGCTGAAAACAGGGTATTTGTAAAGAGGCAGGAATGTAGAGTGAGAGATAATCAGAGAAGACATGATGCAGAAGCAGAGATGGGAATGGTACAGGGCCATGATCCAAGGAATGTGGGCAGCCTCTAGAACCAGAGGCAAGGAAACCAGCCCCCCCTCCCCCCACACACACACACACAGCATCCAGAAGGAATGTTTTCCTAAAGACATCTTGACTTTAGACCAGTGAAACCAGGGTATTTGTAAAGAGGCAGGAATGTAGAGTGAGAGATAATCAGAGAAGACATGATGCAGAAGCAGAGATGGGAATGGTACAGGGCCATGATCCAAGGAATGTGGGCAGCCTCTAGAACCAGAGGCAAGGAAACCAGCCCCCCCTCCCCCCACACACACACACACAGCATCCAGAAGGAATGTTTTCCTAAAGACATCTTGACTTTAGACCAGTGAAACTAACTTTGGACTTTGAGCCCCTATACTATAAGATCATAAATTTGTGTTGTTTTAAGCCACTAAGCTTATGTTAATTTGTTTCAGCAGCTATGGGACTAATACAGTTATATTGTAGGCTTTTCAAAATCTGTCAGAAAATGTTAGGTAGTATATGATTTTGGAGTTTACCTATGCTCTTCCCTGATGAACATAATCCCATATTTTTTTTCATTTATTTTTATTAGTTGGAGGCTAATTACTTTACAATATTGTAGGCATTTTTGTCATACATTGACATGAATCAGCCATGGATTTACATGTATTCCACATCCCGATCCCCCCTCCCACCTCCCTCTCTACCCAATCCCTCTGGGTCATATTTTTGACTCTCTTCTATATGTAGTTGATGATATGCGTGTTTATAACTTTAGGTAAGCAAGAAACATTAATAAGTTTAATTTTGGATGATTTGTATTTGGTATGCAACACATAGTCACCTAAAAGGGTGAATTTATTAGGAGAGGAAGTTTTGCAAAGGAATAATAAGAAAAAGAAAAGGAAGAATATTATCAAGAAACAAGTAAACACAAAGCATTGTGAGATACACTTGCTTCATTTTAAATCATGTTTATTCTATGAGTAAATATATATTTAGGTAGAATATACATGCAATTTTTAAATAAAACCAACTTAACTTTGGATTGGCCACCTGATGTGAAGAGCCAACTCGTTGGAAAAGACCCTGATGCTGGAAAATATTGAAGGCAGGAAGAGAAGGGGACAACAGAGAATGAGATAGTTGGATGGCATCACTGACTCAATGGACCATGAGTTTGAGCAAAACTCCAGGAGGTGGTGAAGGACAGGGAAGCCTGGAGTGCTACAGTCCACGGGGCTGCAAACAATCAGACGCAACTTAGCGGCTGAACAACAACAAACAACTCTAGGTATTAGATTTTGAATAGCAGCAGTGTTTAGACTAATTTGGAGCAAAGCAAGCTTGTTCAAGTTCTTTAGTCTTTTTTTCCGGTTTCCGGTTGCTATCCATAGCGCTAGAACAGTGAGACCACTAAGCAAGTGCCACTGAAGGGTCACTTCAGCCTTCCCTATGATCCCAGTGTGAATAAGGGGTTTCTTGATTCAATTAATAATTAATTTTTCATCTATTCCATTCATGTCTTTAGACTCCAAATATTAAATGATTTTATTTTCACAGTAGATTACTTAGTGATTTACTTCTTTTCAATGCAGAGCTATGATCTTTGTCCTAAAACCCACTGACTTGTGCAATCCGTTTAATTTACCTAACACTCCAACTGCTTCTATAATTTACTTAAGCTATATATTGACACAGAACATTCAGACCTGAACTGAACTTGATCAATCTCAGGATACACAGTCACCCTATTGTAGCTAGTTGTGCGGCCTCAGAATGCATTGATTTCATCTGTTGTATGATTGGAGGTTCAAAGGACATGAAGACACAGGCTAACAGACTGTGGACCTCTGTGTGCATCAGTGATTGAATAGGATATAACAATTAAATATGGGCTAGTTTCCAGAATATTATTTTCATCCCCTCCAATAATCAAAGCCTCTGGTTTTTCATTTAATGACCAATTTTTCATCTCCTACTTTTTAGTTCTGCATAAAATCAAACCTTTAAAGGCACAGGTGAATTATGGCTTCCAATTTGCTTCCACTACAAAATCACTTCATTAGATACACACACTTACATTTTTTTCCCTATACTTGGGCACCTGGGGACTCAGGGACTAATTTATCTCTGATCTCAAGGAGCAGGAATCACTACTTTTCACAGGCAGTTGCCGTGTCAGAGCCTCTGATTCTCTATCTCCCACCCTCCATTACATCAGTGTTTCTGAGATAATTTCTGTCAAGCATGATGTATTTTATAAAAACATTTAAAGAGATGGAGGTTATTACAGTCTTGAAAATCATTGCTGAAAAATTTGTTCACCAAACTCTCAAGTATTTCCCCTATAGGAAGAGTTTTAAGGATCTTTGAAGAAAGAAAAGATTTTTTTCTTTGCCTGAAAGTAAGCAAGTAGATTTTAGAGAACTGAAGTAAATAATGAGAAAGATGACTCCTTTATTTTTGTTAGAGGATATGTTAGGCAGACTTGTAATTTTCATTTCAGCATAGAATATAAGAGCATAATATTTGGTGACAAGGGATCAGTTGGAAACCTTTGCTCAGCTACTTTCTCAATGAGTGAACGTAAATGAATTATTTCACTTCATTAATCCTTAATTTCCACACCTATAAAATGAGTATATTAATATAGCACAGGATTTTGTGAAGATAAAGTTATATAACACCTGAAGGAGAAGAGGTATTTAAGATGTAGCACCAAATGAAATTTAAGAAATAGCACCAAACTAGAAGCGAATGAATTTTTCTTCTGTTTTCTCTTCTCCAGTATCATTTGTATAACTCAGTAGATGTCCTTGGGGGAAAATATATAATCTCAATGAGCTTTTGTTTCTCATCTATAAAGGCAGAAGCCTACGTTCTCACCAAGTAAAGCAAATGCTAATGAAATTTTCCACCATGAGTTATGATCCCATTTTGAGATGAAAAGACAGTTTGTTAAACTACAGTTTTCAAAGTTTTATTAAGGCTCTAGACAGAGATACGTTTGCACCTTCATTGTCCTGATTGACAGAAGTCACTGGCATGTAGTCAAATCCAAATCCAAAAAAAGATGAGATTTATGTTGTATGGAAGTATTTATTGTATTCACACACAGAAAGAGAATAAATTAAACTTCAATTTCAAAGACACCACAAGGATGGGCTGTAATGGTTTGCTTCATTTTATGCTTTTTCTTAGTGATATAATTTGCTTTTCAATTATTGTTAGTGTTCTTTGGTTGTTCTTGCCACATTTACATCTTTGTTATTTTACTGCCTCCAGCCCAGTGTTTTGGAGAAGGCACTGGCACCCCACTCCAGTACTCTTGCCTGGAAAATCCCATGGACGGAGGAGCCTGGTAGGCTGCAGTCCATGGGGTCGCTAAGAGTCGGACTCGACTAAGAGACTTCACTTTCACTTTTCACTTTCACTCATTGGAGAAGGAAATGGCAACCCACTCCAGTGTTCTTGCCTGGAGAATCCCAGGGACGGGGGAGCCTGGTGGGCTGAGGTCTATGGGGTTGCACAGAGTCGGACACGACTGAAGTGACTTACCAGCTGCAGCAGCAGCAGCCCAGTGTTTTATGATAGCTGAAGGAAAAATAGTTCTGTGATCTGATGGTAACATTCCCAACCGAACGCATCTGCATGCTCTTAAAGACTCTCTGAGGAAACTGCCATCTTGTCTCGTTTGTGTATTGCAGTGACATATGCAGTCCCAGTATGACTGTAGAGAGCGTC